ATGTAAAAAAAAATGAATATTCTCCCCCTTCATCCTCCATATCCCACTCCTCAGCAGGGACTAACCATGGGGTACACTTTAGTGTGTATTTCTAGAGCCTTTTAGGTCTTTACATTCACATACATGGTCTCCTGCAGCTTGCCTTGCACTTAACAGTAAGTCCTGTCCTTGCTCCAGGTCAGCTCATACAGGCTTACCCCATCCGTTTCATGGCTGCTTAGCTTTCAATCAGTTTCTTTTGTGTCATTTTTCAACCACCTCCTGTAGTAGGGCTCTACTGATGACTGATTTTAAGTTTTCTCAAGTTTTCATTATTACCCAAAATGCTTCAGTAACTACCTTTCCTACATCCATCTTTATACATTTAGCAAGCCTTCCTACAGATCCCTAAAAGGAAAATTAAATTACATGCAAGAAATAGTTACTAAGTGCCTAATCCACAGTGTATTGAACGAATGAAATTCTTACCTGTCTAGGTTTGCATTTTGGTGATTGTGGGAGAGATAGATGAGAAGCAGATATCCAAGTCACGGTGCAGTAAAGCAGATGGTGACACGTGTTAGGGAGGGAGTCAGCAGGCGAGGGTGACTGATTCATGTGAGCTTTTTTAGGGAAGACTTCGTTCATGTCTGGTGTGTTGGGACAGAACCTAGCAGGAAGTGAGGAAACTTGCGTAGGTAACTGGGGAGGGCTTCCAGCCAGTTAATACAAAGGTCCTGAGGTAGGCTTGGAGTGTTTGAGAGTGAGTAGGTCCATATGACTGGAGCCCAGTAAGCAAGAAGGAGTGGTGGGAGAGGTGGTCAAAAGATAACAGGGTTGAGATGAAAAATGGTCCTTTGAATTGAGGACTTTGGAGTTTATTCTGAGTTATGTATATTAAAGGATTTGGGGGCCGAGCATGGTGGCACACACCTTTAATCCCAGCAGAGGCAGGCAGATCTCTGTGAGTTCAAGGCCAGCCAGATTTACATAGTGAGTTCCAGGCCATCCAGAGGTGCTGAGAGACCCTGACTCAAAAAGACTGAAAAAAGAGACGGGTGTGGTAGCACATGCCTTTAATCCCAGCACTGGAGAGGCAGAGGCAGACAGATCTCTGAGAGGCCAGCTGGGACTGCAGGGAGACCCTGTCTCAAAAAGACCAAAATAAAAGGATTTTGAGGATTTTGAGAGGAGTGGAGGGGGTAAGATCAGATATACATCATAAAATCTCGATCTTGTTGCTGTGATTGAGGCAGGGCAAGGTCAAGAGCAAGGACTTTTAAAAATATTTTATTTAGGGAACTGGAAAGATGGCTCATCAGTTAAAAGCACTGGCTGTTCTTGCAGAAGACCCAGGTTTGAATCCCAGCACCCACATGGTGGTTAACAGCTAGTCATAACTCCAGTTCCAGGAGACCCAACGCCCTCTTCTGTCCTCCTCGGGGACTGTACAACATGGGTGCACTTATATACATGCAGGCAATAAACACATACACATAAAAAAAATAATGAAACATTTAAAAATAAATAGATAAAACATTTAAAAATAGGGCTGGAGAGATGGCTTAGTGGTTAAGAACACTGGTTGTTCTTGCAGAAGACTGGGGTTCAAATCCCAGCACCCACATGGCAACTAACAACAGTCCGGAACTCCAGTTCCAGGGGCTCCAACAGCCTCTTCTGTCCTCTGCAGGCATTATATGACTCGGGTGCACTTACCTACATGCAGGCAATACACATACACATAAAATAAAAAT